TCATAGGTATGTTACAACAAACATAGTATATTTTATGAATTAATAAGAAAGCATATAGATATATAGAGATAAACTTACGTATTGTGCAAATATATGTAAATAAATTTTTGAGAATATAAAAATATACAAGAGCAACGAAATTAACTGAGCAAATCATAAACTAATGTTAAAGGTGACAATTTTCAACAACATTTTCTTGTTGATAATTGTTATTTTTTGCATTTAGTCTTTAGCGTGTTTGTTTGGCTATGGTTATAAGCTAATATCTTAAAACGCAAAACAGCTGCTTTTTTGTCCAAACATTCAAGAAGATAACTTCTTCTATTTGCCTATTACAGAATCAATAGATACACAACTTTATGAACTTATATAACAGGAAGATAACAGGTTAAAAACATACTTAAATAAAGTTATTTCTTATTTATGATTCAGCAGAGTGAAATTAAAGTTTTATGTCCTTTTCCCATCAAAATTTTACTTCTTACAAGTACAACATAAATATACTTATATTGTTAAAGGAAAGAGTTTTGGGGATAATTCTTACCGTTAAGAGATTTAGTGTTTGGTGGAGGTGGAGGAGGCATCATTGAAGATACCACTTTCGAATTGTCATTATTAGAATCTTTGGACGATCCGTTACTGTTGATAAGAAGACCGTTTCCACTGCCGTTGCTACTGCTACTTGACGTCGATTGGTTATTGGAAGCATTATTGTTGTTACTGGATTTCTGATTGGACTGCTGTTGTGCTTGTTTTTGTTGATTTAGTCTTTCTTGTTTCCTGAACTTTGCTCTTCGATTTTGGAACCATACCTGATTAAAAATATTTAGAACGTTAAATGCAATTGAGAAGTTTCTAATACTTCCAAGCAATATAAAAAGTACAATGTGACACTTCATTTTGTATAGCAACATTTTCTTGCAGGAATGTAAATAATATTTAAAAAAACTGTCTTAAAATATTAAAAGAAATAATAATTAATTAATGTAATCTTTTCAAAGTCTATATAAAATATTTTACATTGTTTTTTAAATAAACAGGGCTTATATTTTATTTTACCTTTTTAACCTAGCCCTACTATATATTTAGTGATCGGGAAATTTTTCTTCGCCTTCAAAATAGTTAAACTTGCGTGTAATAAAACTAAGATACAAATAAATTCATCGATACATAATTTATATTGCATTTTAAGCGGTAAACTAAGTTTTATATCACATTTTCAATAAATCAACTCGCAGATAATATTGATGACATTTAATGCTAAAGCATTGTCATAATCTTGTTTTATATCAATTGTATGGGTCATATACAATACTACTGACATGCAGTCAGACTACTGGAGCTGGAGTGATCTATGAAATGCATTAAAGCATCATAACATTCGCATAGAAATAGACACTCAGGTCAAGAAGGTTGTCAGATGTGTAATTATTTTAATTTCTTTTGAAATTAAAATGAGATAAAGCTGAAGTCACTTTGTTAAATAATAACTAAGCAAAAGATAATATATAATAATCAAGAATTTTCTTATAATAAATTTATAAGCTAATTGTAACACCAAGCATAGTTATTTTAATTTGTAAAAGAATAATAACGAAACAAGAGTTAGTAGTATGCCTATAAACCTACATATTTAAATTAGACTTCAAGAAATAAATTACCCTTGTAGACAACTATAATGTTATTTACACACTCAAAATTAAGGTCAGCTAAAAGTTTAGAAATCCAAAACCTTTGTATGTACTCATTTTGAAATACAAGGACATAAAGCAGAAATAATATACACATGTTACTAAGTTTAAATAATATATAATTATTAAATTAATGTTGTATCACTATATTATTCTGTTGATCAGCTTACTCACTCTAGATCCATACTTATTTTGGAGTACTTTAAGGAAATTTGTATTCCACATGAAAAATGAATTAGTGCCTTCTCTCTTTGGGACCGTTCTATGGTCACAAACTTAATACCTGTCGAGAGCTACTGTTTTTGCGACAAACTGCCGTGTGATATAACAGTCTTAACTGATAGCCTATGAATAATAATATAATAAGTGTAGTTTTTACGATGCTGCAAGGTTTATTTTCAATAAATTCAAATTTAAAACAAAAAGTTATATTAATAATTTGAAGGAAAGTATTTCTAATTTCTAATTGTAGGTTTAAATTGCATAATACACTTTGTACACGAGGCCCAATAGCAGCGCATTTGAATTCAGACACAGATACAGATATTTTTGGAAACGTGTCTTTAATTAGGAGATTTTTATATAAGATAGTACTTCAGGTTTTACAGGAATTAAAATAATAACTAATATTTTCTTTGGCATACAAAACAGGTTATCAGTTCTATTTCATATATCGAGGATGTAAGAATATGTTCCCATCGAAAGTAGGAAAACAGATAGCATAAACTTCGGTATTTTCAAAGAGAGTAATACTTTATCCATGACCCTGAAGACAGCTGGGCCTTTTTATTAAAGAAGTGAACTTAGGAAGAAAAAAGGCAATAAAAGGCATTAAAAGAAGTGCAAAAGGATTTTTAAAGAGTATACTACGTCATACAGAGCGAAAACGGAAGTACATCACTAGGAATACATTATTAAAAAAGCACAAACTTCTAGAAAACGAAAGTGGCGTTTATTGATAACTTACAGTAACTTATAGCTTAGGAATAATAATTAACAATTATCTACAACTTAAGGCACTTATAAATGGAATGGATTTCGGCAAATTTCAAACAGAAATTCATACTTTTCGAAGAAATCCTTTATCAGAAGCCTTAGAAAAAAGATATTTATTTCCTTAGTCGAATATGATAAAGCATGTGATAGTTATCCGCCTCAGTCAGGAATGCTTTTGAAGATAAGATCACCCTCTCAAGTACTGAGAGCGTCCGATGCTGCTTGACTTCGGTATTTGCTCCCTCCTTCCAACATGCCTTCGTCGTGTAACGGTTGCATACTCGGCGCTTATTCGAGAGATCCAGGTTCGAGTCCCGCGAGGGTATTGCTCATTTCAAAAAAATCTAATGAAGTTTTAGTTTAAACTAAACTAAGTTTTTAAGAGTTTAAAAACTAAGTTTTTAAGAGATACTGGATTGTATTTAACTGGATTGTATAACACATGGGAACTTAAACTGTAGGAATTTATGTTTTGCGAGTAAGTAATGGCAGTATACGAAATACACTGGGCTACACTTTAAGTACGCACTGGTTATGAGTTTCAGTTGCTACACACATGAATAACGAGTAAACTATAATTGTTAAGTGTACTTGCTGTTCTTGAGTAGGAAAGTTATAGACAGTTATGTTGGGACAAATTAAAATAATGTACTGACATTCTAGACGTCACAGGATGATTGGAAATTAAAAATTGTTTATTTGTGTTTAATTTTTTTTAATAATACTTACGCTAGTACTGATAAGTGGGAATTTTATAAGCTCCGTACGCATTTAAAAATCGCAATATGGAAGAATTCCATCCTAAATGAGGTTTTTTTCTCATGTGTAAAGTGAAAGAGAGCCGGTTCCCCTTAGGAAATTTTTCACAAAGGCACCTTTCCTGTTCGGCAGTCATTCTGCGCTTTGCCGTAATGCAAACAACCGAATCCAGTAAGTCTCAAAGTTGAAGGTAACGCAAAGAATACGAAGTACGTAAGGCTAATTTTTTTCCTGTCTATTTTTGGTTTGCTTGTCTCTTCTGTTTAAAGTTTGTTTGTCTCTTTTGTCAACTCAAATGCATGCCCCTTTCTTTAGAAATGGTAATGTATATAAATTAAAGACGTAGATGAAAGGAAGAAAGAGACGTGAATGTACATTAAATTAAAAGAAATGGGTAGGAAACTTTGAAGAAGATCTCAGTTAAATGGTATTTGCAGCTATCTTTGTAGCAAATACTTTTCCTGCTTTTCGTTTGAAAAATCTTACATTTTCATTCAAAATTCCTTAAAGGATTATTTATCAACAATATAGCCTCTTACATATCATGTAATATATTACTCAGACCTAGTAAGTTCTGTTTGGGTTTTTTTATGTAAATTTAATTAGAGTGAGGATTTAACATAGAGGTGATGAAGTTGCTAGGTTTGAGCACTTTCTAAGAGAAAATCTTTATATTATTAAATTCAAATTTTCATCATTAGAAACAGCATAAACAAGATATGATTTTAAATAATTTATTACCTTTCAATTTTGGTAAATGCGTGTTTTCGTTGACAATAAATTGTGATTATTTGGCTTCGAGATTGTTGTTCGAGATTTATAGACTTAGCATCTTTAATTTTGCATACCTGAATAAAATTTATCGAGCAATCTTATTATAGCATAACTGTTATACACTTAACCTCAGTACTGAATAAAAGGTATACATTTTACTGATACATAGCGTCGAATTGATGTTAATTTGTACTGTTTGGGAACTGATTTCCCTTTTGTTTTAAAAACAGTCTATACTTTTCCTGCGCTTAACCTTTGTGTGTTACCTGAGAAATAAACTTCTCTTTAACTGAGACCTTTTCATAGACAACAAGAATTGTTAGTGGAAAGTAGGAAAATGCCATTGACTGAGAGAAAGAACACCGGGAGACTGAAGAAGTCGATGAAAGGAATCTGCGATTTTCTCTAGGGGTGAGGAGGATTTAGATGCACGATTTTCTATGGTTTCTAAAACCCATGGCAGAACTTTCCAGCTTATATCAACTAGAAGAAAAACGTTTCTTGTCTAATATGATAAACTCTATGCGCAAATTAAAAACTATTATGTTTCGCATCGAAATAAATGTAAACATTAATATTATTTGCGGAATATAGTTATTTCAGCTTGAAAAGATGATAATTCAGTTATTTAATAATCAAGGACTTAGAAAATTGGATATATGTTTTCTTTCCATGTACTTCATAGTTTAAGCAAAATATTATGATAGTTGCTAATTGCTGTAATTCTTGTCAATAATTTCACTATGCCTTTAAGAAGTAGTATGTGAAGAATTATATTATTCGTAAGATTTGAAGAAAGCATATTTCTTCCCCAAGGTCGGATGAAAAAAGTAAATATTTTAAAATTCTTACGTTATTCAAGTTATAGCAGTTTGTTAACAGAAGAATAAAACTACCTTGTGTTATTGGAAAACATTAAAGGAACATATATTGAGCAAATGGAATCAGTATAACGTGTATAAATTTACAGAACTGTAGATTCGCAGATTAAATTCGCTATTTATTTAACCTTCGAAACTATGATCCTGGAAATTTGTTCATGATGTGCCGGTTTTTGTTGCTCATTGCAACATTTGTTCTTCGAAGTATTCTTTTTCTTAAGTTAAAAGATAGTGATTATTATCTTTTTTGTTGTTGTTGAACTAGAGGTTTATACTTAGACTAATTTAAAGACTGAAATGTGCTGAATAATCCAGTCTCAGTGCACCCGTCATTATTCTGTAGATTATCAATGAGATATTTTTCTTTATGTGCATTTTTTTTTCAAATATCAAACACTTGAGATGACGAGGAGTATCACCAGGTGTATCATCTTTAACAGAAAACGTAAAAGGAAACGTCGGAAGAGTAGAAGAGGCAATGCATAAATACAAATCTTTCGAATGTTTATTTAAATGATATATTGCCTAGGGGAGTTGAGTCACTTGAGTGATGTGTCCACGGTCCGACCTCCCTCCCGTTTCGCTCGATTCTTATTCGATTACGCTAATATAATTATAGCCAATTAGACGTGAACAAAACGCCAGCCCCTGGAAACTGCATATGAAACAACACAGACCTTCCCCCTCCCCCTTTCTAACACATTTCTTTTG